CAGAAATGGACAGCCATATTGGTCTAGAAATGTTAATTTTTTTCATTTTTATTTTTTTTTCCATGTATACAGGGATAACACATCATACTAAATATGTAAGGTCATATCTACATGGGTTTGATTACAGAAACTAATAAAGTATTCTCTAAATAAAAAAAAAAAAGAATAAGATAAGACTATAAGAGCAAGAAGCAATTTAAATATGTTCAGGGACCATTTTCATCTCCAGAATTAAGGATTATTTTAATGTTTCATCATTGCCTTTTCTCTTTTACTTTCCTTTTCAGTTTTTTTAGGATTCTCCTTTTCTCTTTTACTTTCCTTTTCAGTTTTATTTTAGGATTCCCTATTTTTAATGTTCATACAGAGATTTCTTTAACTGAATACCGAATAGTTTCTTTGGTGTGAAAAACTATAATAGTACACAGGATCCTAATGAGATAATTAATAATGTAAAATAGGAAGTAAAGGGCTAAAGGGATAGGGAAAGTGGGAAGGGTGGGGGAAAGGTAATAAGGGAGAGGAAAAAAACATGAGAAACTGAAAAATGGAAATAAAGTGTTTGTAAATGGGGAGGGGAGGAGGGGGTGAAGGGAGGGCAGGGACAAGGGGAAAAAAATGAGAATCAAGACCTATTATGTAAAGGTACAGAATCCCAATGATGAATGTAACTGTATTGTATACCTAGATTGTACCAATAAACTCAATAAAAAGAAAAAAAATAATTTCAGCTAAGAGAAAGGGAGAAAAGGTGCATTAAGGAAAGGAAAAGTCAAGAAAGGTGAGGTTTTGTTTTGTTTTTGTTTTTGTTTTTATTTTTGGTACTGGGGATTGAACTCGGGACCTTGTGTTTGCAAGGCAGGCACTTGCAGGGCTTAGGACTGAGCTAAACACCCAGCTAGGTGAGGTTTTATGGAAGTGGGACAAGAGCAAGGAGGAGGAAGAGAGGGAGAATTACCTTCACAAAGACAAAAAGTTCTAATACACTGTGGCCATGAAGGGAGTTTCTTGGTGATTTTAGTGACCCCCTCACTTCCATTTCCGGAAACTCAGTTGACAGCCCCACGACTCTATCTGTGCAGGTGCTGGTCTCTGGTACTGGGGTCTCATGGTTGGCAAATGAGCCACCATCCAGCTTACACATTACTGACTCACTGACTGAGCTCTTCAACTAAGCGCGCGTTTTGTGACAAAGGAGCAGTCTTCTGCAGTGTTTACAGTACTCAAGCTGGGCGTGCGCCTGCATTATTCACACGGCATTTTTCAGTCTGCTACCCAAAAGCATTAAACTTACGTTGGATCTATGCAGCTTGCTACTGAAATTATTAAGGTTAAAGGGAAACATTAAGATTGTCAAAAAGTATTAAGGTTATGATGGAAATACACAAAGACTGGTCTTATGGAGTTTTATAAAGCATGAGACTGTTACAAGAATGAAAATAATTTCTGTTTTTCTTTTTCCAAACCACAGACTGTTTTCACTTCCATAGGTTTTTTTAAAAAGTCCCTCTTATTTGTATATATACATTTGGACCACTGCAGAGATAAATGGTGCAATAAGCAGTGTGGTCTCAGAATGAGCCAACTGCCTAACAGACAGGGACAGGTGCATGTACGATCACTCACACCAAAAGCTAAATGCTCTCCCTAAATTTTATAAAGATTAACAACATCAACACAGCTAGCCTTTACTCACTGCATGTTTTCTATCTGTATATATGTACATATTATAGTACACCTGACGTATTTTATCTGTACTCATCTCTTCATTTATTTTTTCTTTTTTCTCTCTCTCTTCATTTTCATCAAAACAATCCTACAAAGCGGTACTTTTAATAGCCCCATTTTACAGACAAGGAGGGTGAGACTAAGCTACCATGGGAAAGGAACTTGCCCAGTGCCACAGATTTGGCATTAGTCACCCAGGACTCAAATACAAGATTTTCTGACCTAAAAGCCTGCTATATTGCTTTATACCAGCACCACTGGAGTAGGAGTTGTCAGAGTCCTAAGACAACTCCTTCGTAACTTAGGACTGATTTCTCACATAGCCTGTGTTTCTTACAATGAATGCATTTGTTATGTTTGCAAACTTGTACTAATTAAAATAATAATAATGATGAATAAGTGGGGAGAAAGAAAAAAGGCATAAAAAAGGAAAAGTTATCATCTTAGATGCTCATACTGCTGTGTATATTTAAACTGGTTCAGCCCTCAGTGCCTTATCACCAACAATAAAAAGACCATTCCTAGAAGAGAACTTAATTGGAAAATCTTTGTTGTATGTTTTACAAGCTGAACACACTAACGTATCTCTTCCTTGGTTTCACAGTACGCTCCCTGCCAGCATCCAATGAAAACAGTGGATGCAGGTTTGCATTAGCCTGGAGAGGTAGGCATCTCTTTTGTGTGTGACAGGTGTGCTGATAAATCCCTCATCTGGCTATATGAGCACCTTGTACCACAGAATAGCTGAGAGGAAATTCATACTTCTTTAGAAATCTCAGTGGAAGTCAGCTAACAGAGGAGATAGAGAGAAAAGGCAGCAGGGGGTGGGGTGGGACTACAGAAAGACAGAGACAGGCAGTCAGGCAGGCAAAGAGGTGACTAAGAAAGTTCAAAGCCCTCCAGTTTACAAGCCTGTGAGTCCAGTGCTTTACTCTCTGGACTCTCCTGTGTGTGCAGGCTGAATGGCTACAGGAGGTTGACCCCCTTCTCTCTGAGAAGAGTTCCACACACTCGTGTTTCTCTGGGGAGCATACGAACTGATTCTAATAACAGTATCCATAATGCAAGTGCATGTCTGTTCTGTTCTGAGAACTCCTAGAATTATAAAACACAAGTATTCCAAACCAGCAGACATCTTCATGCTCCTGGGCTATCATAGCACTAGGACGCTCGTGTTCACCTGAACCTTTAAATTTCCATTTAGGCCCTCTCAGCTTTACTTTTAATTATAGGTTGTATGTGATTGTGTGTTGATTTTCTTTAAACAAGACAAAAAATTACAGAGCAAAATTAAAGATAATTGGAAATAGATCTTTTTGCTATAGGGAAGGAGACCAAAGACAGAGGGAGGGAAGAGGAAGAGGAGGGGAGGAAGATGAAGAAAAGAATGATTAAAATGTGTTATGTATGTGTGCCGATGTCTCATGACAACTGTGATAACTATGTACTGAAAACATTTACTATTAAAACAAAGAGAATCTGTGAGTGCAAAGACCAAGATGCCCCGTCCTCCATTCCGTGTGAGTGGCCACCCCTCAAGGAGGTGCTGTGCCCTTTCCCTCACCACCCTGAAGCACGTGGGTCTTCGCAGGCTTCTCCACCTGGCGGGCAGAGCAGGATAGCTTTGCCACCAGTGACTCTGTGGGCAACCACTGACACAACCCCCACTGACCAGAAAATGCTTCACAGCATCTTGTTTATGTTTCACAACTGTAAGTGTTTTGCATCTGGTCCACACTATAACAATGTTTGCTTTACTGTCAATAAGCAGAGGTTTTCCTTCAAATTCCCTAAGTCAAGTGGATGCTGCATGAATTGCTCCCAATTTATGCCTCAAGTTCACATCACCCCCAGAATACTGCTGCACTCTTGGTGCCACGAAGCTGTACTTAAAAGCACTGATCTTGATCTCCACAGCACTAGGAACACCAAGTTACAAAAATCAGCCTTAAAGTGCTATGGTCAAATACACACATTTACTCCTTATTCTACCGGAGCACATCTGAAGCAACTTTCCTCAAAGCAAATTATTTTTCTGAAAGTATTCTGTTAGAAAATAAATGATGAGTTATTACAAGGAAAACCTTTGAAAACCAACTTGAACACTTTATGAGAAGTTTCTGATACTGATTTTGGTAAGATAGATATAAAAATATTAAGATGAACAGAATCACATTCCTCACACAGAAGATACTTTTATGTTTTCTGCCTTGAACATACACATCCCCTAGGATACAATATGCTCACCTGCTTCTCTGCTCCCGTCTTCCCTCCCTCCATTCCCCTTCATTCCTTTTATTTTCCATTTTTATTTACATTGTCAAGCAGAGGTAAGTTATAAGGCTCCACTTTTATCATTCAGTGACTCTAATCTGAATTTTTTAATTTTATGCTCCAAATCATGTAAAGTGAATTGATAGATTCTTTGTTTCTTCTCTAAACTTAAAAAAACCTATTTTAAGCTTACTTAAAATACCAGTAAAGCAGTAGAAAATATGGAGTACAAATTCAGCAAATCTAGGTTCATCTGATATTTGTTCCTGTTAAAAGAGTATATGTGCCAGGGATTTAGCTCAGTGGCCCCATGCCTGCCTTGCAAGTGCAAAGTCCTGAGTTCAACCCCCGGTATCAAAAGAAATAACAAAACAAAACAAAACAAAACCCAAAAAACAGTAAACATACCACGGTCTCCTCATCACAAAAAAATCTAACAATAATGCACAAATAAATTCTTTGCAAATATAGCAGCTTGAGTTAATTTCAAAGGTTTGAGCTGGTTTTGTTCACATTCCAGAGCTCTCAATTTTATTCCTGATGGAATCACAGGCTTCAACTTCAGCAAGATGATTCATCTGAGGCAGCAGACCCTTGCATGTGAGAGTCTGCAGTCATGGAGCCTGTACACTCCTCGAAACGCAGACACACACAAACACTGAGCAAAATGTCCTTACCTGGAGAGGGTGGCACACAGGCACACGAGAAGAGGGTGTTGTAGCCCACTTTGAAGTGGGAGTTGATGGGGTAGTAATCTGCCAGCTTGATCATCTTCTTGAAAGCATCATAGATAAAGATGAAACTGATCAGAGAAGAGAAGCCCTCTTCCGTGAAGCGAGTAAAATACTGGACCAAGAAGCTGGCATCAGTGGCTACCAAAATAAGACACAGGAAGGCTGACCACAGGCCAATCCAAAGGCGAAACTCCAAGTAGTCAAAATTATTGTCCCTGGAAAGAGGAATGAAATGCACTTGGACTCCCTTTTGATAAAACATGAAAATGTAAAACTATCAGATGCCTAAAGAATGATGGCTAAAATCACAGAATCATTTTTAGCCACTAGATACAAAGTTCGATTTTATCCAGAAAGTTTAAGTTTAAGGACTTTGTCTAGTGGTATTATTGTACTCCCATAAAAAGATAATTTTAGAAGTCTGAGAAAAGCACATGGAAAGAAGTCATACCATTTGTATATGAGTAAGTCATTTATTTTCTCATTCAAAAATAGGATCTGTGTATTCACATAATTTGCAAAGTAAAGAATTTAAATGTGCAACACTGGCACCTGGTATGCATTTAATAAATGTCAGTTTTACTGGTTAATGAGGACATTAGATCAATATACGGGGTCCACAGTCACCACCGTCTACCGAGAGAGACAAATGATAAACATCATAAAATGATAAGTGACAGTATCATGGTAAAAGGAGTAATTAATTCTAGCAGGGAGGATGGATGAAGTTGAAGAAAAAACTCAGGGTGTTCAAGCATAAATAGAAACTTTCCAGACGAGGTAAAAGGACACACAGCACTGGACAGCAGACAGCATCTGTGTGAAGAGAAGGCTAGCAACGAGGGAGACAGGAACAAACGTGTGGGTCATTGTCAAGCCTAGAGAGGCTGTCTGGCTATGCCAGCCCACACACATCTCACGGGGTTGCCCACAGACACCATACGCTTTCTCTGAAGGAGTGTGAAGTTATCTTGTGGCCACTTTTTCTCAGCCCCACGCAGACTTAATAGCCCACCTCCATCTACAGAGGTTATGTAGTCTCTCAATGTCTTGCCCATTTCTTACATGTGAATTAGTTCAAGATTCACAACTAGGAAAAGATGGGTCAAGTGCTGACATTTTATGATTTCATACTGATTCTTTTAAAATTGAGTGGAGAGGAGCACATCAAAATGTTTAAATTTAGCTGAGATTAAAAACCAGATAGTATCACTTCTTGCCCAGAAACCAAAGACTCTGGATATTTGAAGCTTTCCAGTCTGGCTCTCAGACAATGGGTTTCTTTTTTTTTTTTTTTTTTTT